TGTGGTGCAATTGTGAACCAATCCAGTTGGTGCAGACCCTGGGAGACGTTGGTTTGGTAATTAATGCTGCTCATGTTGTATTTTTACTTAAGTTGTCAAATTCTCTGGTCAAAGTCATTCTCTCTTTCTGTGAGTGAAGTTCACAGCCGGATATTCCATAACATTTTATTTGATAGTATTTTTTTACAGTCTTGGTTGTTTCTGATATACTTTCGGCTCTCTTACACAATGCAGGTACAATCAGCCAATTGTGTGCCAGAAGTCCTTCTTGTTACCTCTAAAGATAATGAGAAAAGAAAGAAGGCTGCCTTCTCACATTCTTTTTGGCACATTCCAAGCCATACCTCATTTAACTCATCCAAAACAGTTGGATTGTCTGCCTCTGCATACAAATAATTCTTACATGAAGTTTTCTAAATCCTCTAAAAGCACCTACAGTATTGAGGCAGCTGTTTTCAGTAAATACTCAACTGGCAACAATCCTGAATTGTTTGGATTTGCATCCTTCTCCATTATAACACAACTACACAGAGGCAGCTATCGTTCCGTCAAGACATCAGCAACAGGAGCTCAAAATATAACTGTGAATACCTACTGCTGGCCTGCACAAACATCATCTCAGTAATCCGGGAATTACTGGAGAAAATGCCTTGCAGCATTGTTTCTGGGTATGTGAGGGAAAAGTTGTCAAAACACTGGAGCTGTTGAAAGAAGTTTGCATGATAAAATAATTGTATGCACCATAATTGTGCCTTCTTTTTACATTTTTATTTTTATAATCAGCATCTGTTTTCAGTGTGTTCCATTGTGGCCTATCAAAACAGGCTTACGTTATGATTGAGTGATTCTAATTTTTCAAAAAAGCAAGATAAATGCACAGGGATTTTTGTTAATGTCTCAAGAAGTTGCTGGCTTATACAAATTTGTGTTGCATCTACATGCTTTACATGCTACATTACTCAGATATATTGACCTTTATCAACTGAATGGAGGCTAGCCAGCAACAGCAGTACCTCTTTGTGCCATTCAGTCCATTTCTGATATCTGAGCTATAATGTCTGGCTTGAATTCCTTTATCAGCCTCACATCAATGTATAGTATGTGCCAGGACTGAAAAAGACATCAACTGCAATTGACATTGAGTTCTAATGAAAATGCGAGGGTCTTGTCATTTGAATTTGGCTGATAGAGGATTCTTTAGTGAGGACAGGGTAGGGCACCTATCAGAAGACGTCCTGTGTTAGCTGAGGTGGAATTGAGATAAAGGGAGTGCTGTTAGTACACTATTAGAACACATCATCAGTGTTTAAATACTCCAGGCTTAAATTATGTTTATTCCCGAGCAATATACTCCAGAAATCCAATGGTGATACCTGCCAAAGAGGACTTCAATAAACATACTGTAGTTTGAAGAACTCATTTGATTAACTGTATCTTGCAGTGGCAAGTGCAAAGATAAATCACGTCAAAGCATTTTAATAGAACCATTGACTTTTTTCATCTTTTTGGATGTCTACCTACAAAACCATTAAACAGAACTTGATTTTTTTTTACAAAAATCAAACTGAATTAGGATTGTAGGACAGTATGTCCATGTGAAAGAAATGTGAACTTATTGTAACTTTTGCAACAAGCGAATGGAAAAAATGTTGCATAATTTGCCAAAAAATATCATCAATACCTTACATAATTACATATAAACAGAGAATTCATTGAAGTTTCTCCCTCCTCCTTCTACCTGATATTTTTTTATGTGACGACCTGACACATTCTTGGATGACAATTCAAAAGTTTTCCAGGTAACTTTCTTCATAAGTAAGCTCCCTCCAGAGCTCCATTAATAAAGTTATTTTTTCTTCGTTTTCTTCTAGGATAAGTTTGCTGGACTTCATTTTTTAATTGTTACACCATTTTTATAGGTCTGTGCAACCTGATACGTGCAATAATTTAAAAATGACTTCTGTATGGTACAAAATAGCTATAATTAGTAACGACTGCATTCAGGCTGCATAACTAGCATGACTTTCATGTCTGATGTGTTTATATCACAGTGAAATCAGATTTTCTTGAAGAGCCTTTGAAAATCAGGTGTGTAATAATGGCCGCCTTTTTTTTTGAGATTGGGTTGACAGGTTTGGCATGTCATCACACTGACAACATTCACTGTCCTGCTTTTTGTTTGAAATGTCGTCTGTAGTGATCAGCGACACCTGTCTAATTCTCCTCTCTTTTATATTATTAGGTATTCCATTTGTCATTGCAGGGAAAGGTGATTTAACCATTTTGGTAATAGAGACATAAGAAATCTAGACCGTTTGTTTTTTCAGTCACTCCTCGATTCAAGGATGTCATCTGGCTACTTCTCGAAAGAAGCCAGGGTTGAGGGCTGTAAAAATGTGACTGGGTATTTAGCCTATTACAACCCTCTGTGTAAAATGAAAAGATGAATTGGAAAATGCCTATTGCATTTTATGAAGGGGTTTTAGGGGTGTACTCATGATGAAGAATTAAGTGTTCGGTACATGCTTCCGACAGCTTTGATGTTGCCTCCTTGTAGGAAGTTACCTTCAATAGCAAATAATGAAACAGGGATGACCAGAATTAGCTGGAGCAGAGGTTAGGTATGGCAGGTACTGTAACTATCATTGCCAGAGGGAGATGACATGATTTTAAAAGCTACTGGGTAATCAATGTGTTTGTACTCGCATAATGTAGTCCAGGACATGGTTAAGTGATCTGTTGTTGGGAGTGTCTAAACACCCCTTACAAATACACCATCGGAAAAACCATGTGACATTTTGCAATATCATGATAGAAATTGATTTTATTGAGCAAAATATAAAAAACAAAACCATCTAACCATCTAATGGTAGGTTTTCAAAGAACTTTAGGGAAGGGAACATAATTTAACAGAACTATCAAAGGCTTAAACTAATCATGTTCTGCTTGTTTGCTAGGGAATGTCTGTCTCCAGGGATTGCAGAGATTATACCAGTCAGATGAAACTGTTGCACAGAATAAATTAAGTCTCGACCACTATTGTTCTGCGTCTGGGGCTTTGCATGTTGCTGGTTGTTAACGTCTTCCAACTCATTTAACAAAACCCTAATTCTCTTTACCATTTACACCATTGTACTTCGCCAACATTTGTACGTATACATTAAACACGAACTTACTAATGGCGGGCCTTCATGTTGTATTCAGATTTTATCACGGTTTTTCTCCTTAAAAACCATTAGCGTAGTCAGGAAATTAAAAGAACAGAAAAAGTTTACCAGGGCATGGAGAATGTAAAAAATCCCCCCAAAAGTAGAGGAAGCTGAAACATTAAACCTCTAAAAGCCCCATCTTTGTCCTTTTTTTCCACAGAGTGCTTTAAGACCCATGTGATACAGAGGTGTGAGGCTTTCCCAGTGCTAGCGCTGAAGGTATTTTCAGGTATCCATTTCCTTCTGAAATGCATTGGCCTGTTGCCTACTGCCCAGGTATTCAGGGAGCTCCGGGCACAATAGGGGGGTTGCGTGTAACGATCTCTTATAAAGTCCCTGCACTTCATTCTTTTCCCACATCCAGATATCGGCACACTATTCCTCTGCCTTTTTATGCACGGTGGGAGCTCGCTGTCTCCGGATAGTGTTCCAGCAGCATGAGAAAAGGAAACGCTTTTTTTTATTTTGCCAAAGAGGAAACCAGAAAAAAAAAGAGTTTTACAATCGAAAACTCATAAAAACGTAAGAGCAGGCCATTGGGCCCTTTGAGCTCATTTGGTTGCTAGTGGCCGGAGGATCTCATCCAGTCGTTTAGTGAAAGGAAGCTGGGGGCGCCAAGCTTCAACTACTCCGCCGAGTACCTCGTTTCAGAATCTTGCGACGCTTTCAGGAGAAAACCAACTGCGGTTTTCAGTTTAAATCCCCCGTAAGGAAATTAACAGGAGCATATCTTGCATTTTCAAAAGGATCATTTAAAATGCTGATAGCTTTGTATCATCACATCTGTGCTTTCATTGTAAAAACGATTTTTCAAAACATATGTAGGACAATATTGTAATTGCAATAATGCACATATAACCCTTGCAAAACCTGTAATGAGTATGTACACACTCTGAAAGAATATTCTTGTGAGCATCTGAGGGGATCACCCTTAGGGCTATCATCTACTGTAATCAGAAGTGATTTTTTTAGCTAAATATAGATGTGGTATAAAATGTATTTAACAGTTCTCACTTTGTATAAATCAAAACTAAAAGTGCTGAGATGTGGAGCATACCCATTTTTCCCAAGTGGTATTCTTATCAGTGTGTAAAATTTCAACTAATCAGAAATGAGTGCGAACTGTCATCTTTACTGTGAAAGTGTGCACGTTAGCAACGCAATAACCTGAATCCTTTTGAAAGGCACTCTTATATTCCTTTTAAACCCATCTTCTGTACAGTTGTAAGCAGCAGCTCCATCTACTGGAGTCTTCATACCTTTGATGGCACTTTTATTTAAACTGTACTACACGAGTGAAATAATTACCTTCAAAACCAGGATCAGGAAACCTATTATATAAATAACTCCCAAAGTGGAACGGGATTTTTATTTTAAACCTGTCGTATCGGTGTTGCAGACAATTTAAGTCAAAGCAGGAGTAAATTAAAGGAAACTTGTGCTGGTCAATTTTAAAGCGTGATTATAACCCACGCTTTAACCCAGGTACAGGATTTACCACTCCAATCATACCAAATGCACGAGGACGAAATGTTGCTTATTTTTATATAAACATTTGCATCACGTTACCTTTACAGCTGATTAAGAAACAACTACCCATATTTATAAATACGATGGTGAATGAATAATCTCATAAAATAGAACAAGACTTTTCAATGTTCTATTAAACTTGCAACACAAGTAAAAACGTACATTTTTACGCTTTATCTAGAACAAACCAAACGGTCTACGGAAATAACACTATTGGCCTAGAGGCGATCATGTGACGGTTGTATGCGTGTCCTGTAGTAGTCACGTGACAGGGGTGGGTGTACGATAGTTAATGCCTGTGGAGGATTGTGCTGGAGTTTCTGGTGTATTGTTTTGTGTTTTTGGGTCTGAATCATGTCCCTGGAGGTGGAATCGGCGGAGTAAGTTACTTAAAATCTGACCTGTTTTTTTTGGGGGAAATTAAGGCATTGTGATTTTAAGTTTAAAAATGTGTTTACACGGTAATCGTTACAGTGTTTGCAGTAAGGTTTTTAGGCCTAGCTAGACCGGTGCTTCAGACGATACTGCATTGCTGGCAGTTTGTTTTAATGCCTTAATCTTTGATTGAAAAGTGTATAATCACACTTAAGGTTCGTTCCTGTTGCCTAATTTGTAGTGTTAATCCAAAGGCGAAATGCAACAGCGCGCATTAACGTACTAGTGCATCTATGGGTGTAACTTTACAGTCACAAAACGTGTGCTTATTGTAGGTGGATTTCCTTTGCTTGTTGAACTCCGACCTCCATGATAGCAGCTAAAATGTTGTCTATTTGACGGTTAACTGCAAAAACAGCTTGTTACAAACAAAAACACTCTTAACGGTATGATATTTTAATTAGTCGATGTGTAGTTCTTTCAGCACATCGTATAAGTATGTACTCACATCAGGAATGACAGCGAAATCCTGTGCAAGTATTTATACATGTTTGTAACTTGCGAATTGTAACTGCTAGGAATTCTAAGGGTACTTTTCATTTCTGTATTTGTAAAAGCTCCTTATGTGTTGTCTGAATAGGCTGCGTATTTTGAACGAAAAAATAATTAAGAAGCGAGGCAAAAAAAACAAAACCTTAACTATTGCCATACAATTTCTCACAAAGCATGGGTTCCAACTTAAACGAAATGTTGCAATAAGTCTGGTATTCCTATTTTTTTCGTCAGTAATACTCTTTAAGTAGTACCTCTCCTTTATGATAATGGAGTCCTATGAAAGTGCTTTGCATTTCGAGTCTTCCATTTAAATTAGATTTTAGCATTTAAATTCCAGATGTGTAACCTCATTCCCCCTTTCTGCCTTATTAAAACAATAGCAATATGGATCCAGACAATGTATCAATTTATAGAGTTAAGATACCATAAGGGTTAAGACTTGAAAGAGCCAAGTGTACTTTCACCTGTGCGGTTGGACTTAACCTATTGCTAGAACCTTTCCTTACCAGCAGCCATATCACCCTGCAACTCACAACTGGCAGCCCACGGAAGCTAAGCAGGCGTGAGCCTGGTCAGTACCTGGATGCGAGACCTCCTGGGAAAAACTAAAGTTGCTGCTGGAGGAGGTGTTAGTGGGGCCAGCAGGGGGCACTCACCCTATGGCTCATGTGGGTCCTAATGCCCCAGTGCAGTGACGGGGACACTATACTGTAAACAGGCGCCGTCCTTCGGATGAGATGTAAAACCGAGGTCCTGACTCTCTGTGGTCATTAAAAATCCCAGGGCGTTCCTCGAAAAGAGTAGGGGTGTACTCCTGCGTCCTGGCCAAATTTCCCATCGGCCTTTATCAATCATGGCCTCCTAACAATCCCCCTCTATGAATTGGCTTCATTACTCTGCTCTCCTCCCCACTGATAGCTGATGTGTGGTGAGCATTTGGGCGCACTATGGTGGATGCTGTACATTGATGGTGGTGGAGGGGAGTCCCCATTACCTGTAAAGCGCTTTGAGTGGAGTGTCCAGAAAAGTGCTATATAAGTATATAATAATAATATATAAGTATATAATAATAATAATAATAATAATACTTCCTAGTGGTTTGCAAAGAACAGTTGTGTTTGAAATTGTTCGTGTTTGAGTTTAAAGGGTGGCTTGGTTCATTCATATAATTTTGCCTTAGTATTGCCAATTTCGGGCAAAAAGAAAAGACAATTGTGAAGTTGTCGTTACAATATAATTTTTTGATTAGTGTTAATCGTTCTATTAGTGTTTTCATTAACTGGGCGTTGAATGGCTTTTCAGCGTGATCCGCCTGATAATGCAGTATCTGAAGGAGAACAATCTTCACCGGACCCTGGCCACACTGCAAGAGGAGACCACGGTGTCACTCAATACAGTGGACAGCATTGAGAGCTTTGTGGCTGACATAAACAGTGGTCACTGGGACACTGTTTTACAGGCCATTCAGTCTCTTAAGCTGCCAGACAAGACACTTATTGATCTCTATGAGCAGGTACGTTTTTGCAGGTTGATGTATTTCTTAATTTCTTTTGTTTACATGTTTTCTTATGTCGTTTTATTTTTCAGTCAAATTTACCATTAACTATTAACTATAAAGACATCCAAAAAGAGCAAGATGGGAAACAGGCCTGTGTGAGGAAAAACAAAACAGAGACACCTTCTTAACATCATTGAACCCGTCACTCTAGAAATGCTGTTAGAAACTACTTCGTCTCACAAAGAGTAGTTCTTCAGCTGTCTGATTCCCAACTACTCTGCCCCTAAACACTCGACACATTTAAAAAGGGCAGTCCCCACTCCTGAAATAAGAGGAGATCTGTAACGCTGACGGTACAAACACAGTATTCACATTCACACCTGAACCGGATCAAAGAAGACAAAGCAAGTAAAAAAATTCTACTTATATTCATACAAGGCATGTGTGTGATATTGGAGGTATTTTTTTTATGGGGAATTGTTCTGTGTGAAAATTGCGTGAATTTTGAAGTGTTTGATGCTAATTAAGTCCCTCCTCCCTTATCTTGGTCTCTGTGTGGGAGTGAGCCAGGAGCCCACCTCATTACCCTGCCCTGTCATGAGGGGCTGTGGTGCCTCTCTGTCCTGTACCCAGGTTGCTTGTATGCTTGGAAGAATGGACTTTCGTTCCTTATCCTGAGTATATGAATAGCAGAATGTTATGAGTTTTTCATGACGCACAGTTTGCACTCACAACTGTGAAACCTTTTAAAACTTTCTAAAGCCAATACAGTCCAATAACACCGGCAGGTAGTGTGTGGCAAGCTAACCTCTAGATGAACCTCTTCCAACCCTGGGTCTTGCCACTAACAGGTGGTGTTGGAGCTCATCGAGCTGCGAGAGCTGGGAGCGGCCAGATCCCTGCTGAGGCAAACAGACCCCATGATCATGCTGAAGCAGACCCAGCCAGAGCGGTACATCCACCTGGAGAACCTGCTGGCGAGGTCCTACTTCGACCCTCGAGAGGTGAGGAGCTGGGGTTGCTCTCGGGGAAGTGGAAATCAATCCTGAATTTGACCCTGCGGTCGTCGGTAACAGCAAGTGCTGAAATACGCGCAGGCCGCCGTGGGCCCAGCCTTTTCAAAGAGAACCCAGCCCGCCAGCTGACTCTGAACGGGGCAAAGTGAGAATTCTTGGCCTGAACGTCGCCAGGCAAGGTTCATGTTTGGAGCCAGGGTGAACAGATTTTGCGAGATTCAAGCTGTTGGTGTGTCTTGAGGAACACATCCTTGTGAGGTAAACGGCCGATCAGACTGTCTCACTCTGCCTCCGTCCGCTCAGGCCTACCCCGACGGCAGCAGCAAGGAGAAGCGGCGAGTGGCTATTGCCCAGGCGCTGGCCGGTGAGGTCAGCGTGGTCCCTCCCTCTCGTCTCATGGCTTTGCTGGCACAGGTGAGTGTGGTCTCTGATGCAGCGACTCCTCTGAGCTCATTAGGATCTGTCAACTCTTACACAGATTAGCCCACTGTGATGTAGTATCAGGGAGGTGGGGGGATATGTTCATAACGGCAGCCGCTCTGTGCCTGTTGATTTTTTTTCCGATCATATTAGCTTGGCCTTTTCAACGGAAGTGAAGTAGAACCTACTGTTCCAAGGCAAAGGAGAAGCACACCTGTCTTAGCTTAGCAGGCTGGCCGGATTGTTAAGTGCTAAATCCTATCTAACTGATGGAAATAGTTTATTCTCTGGTCTTAAAAATAGTAGGCCTAAATGCGTAAGGGTTCCATGCT